TGCTCATTTTTGTCCTTAAGAATGGCACAGAAAAAGAGGGAGGGGGATACCATAGAGAAAAATTTCAGTTAGAAGTGTCATGTGCATAACACTTATGCATGAAAGTTGATTGCTTGCAAGCACAGAATAATTGTGTACATCTACTGAAAATGTAGTTTAATTTTAAATCAGATTCTAAATTTAGATATTTACTTTTTCGGCAAAGTCATGCTTTCTATTCTATTTTCAAAAACTTAGAGATCTAAAGTATCTTTAGTGATGAAAATAGACATGCACTAAATTGATTATACCTTTTAATGGTAATCACTTTTCTTTTCTTTTGTTTTCTTTTTGGTCTACCCTTCCATTTTGATGAAAGTATTTTGAGGGAGTGCTTGATGGAAATGAAATCAGTGAATCATTGCGGCATAGCAATGGCTTGAGAAGTACAGAGCCTATAGACGGGACTTTGCCTCAAATCTACAGTACAAATTTAAGGGTAAAATATGTAGAAGATGTCCCATTTGTTACAACGTGATACCCAGTCATTAACAAAGGCCCTGTCCTTTTGTCTGAACTAATATCTTCCTATGTGGACCCCATTAACCTTCATTATTGCCTGTATGTGATAATGTGAAGTGTTAATAAACATACTTGTCTCCTTAAATTTGTAGTCCATACTAATCTGTGTAAATCTGGGATTAAAAACTCTACTTTCTGCAAACACTTGGAAATCAACAAGAGAAATAGCTCAGTACCCAATAAATATTTACTATAGATATTTGCACTAGAAAACTATTCAATAATGCTTACTGCAAAGAGAAAGTGAGGGGGACAGAGTGAAGGAGAGAGAGAGAGAACCAAAAAATACCCGCAATGCAAACATTCAAATTAACAAAGGCAAAGGTTACAACTATATCCTTAAGCTATTAACACTGCTTACAATTAAAAACTACAAACTACAGAAAATATTTTCAGCAGCTGTAAGTATTATTCCTCAAGAGAAGTAAATTATTAAAAATATGTATCAAACAGAGGACAGCATAGACATGAACCCAAGCAAATTATTTTTTTTTGATCATTTTATGGCTGGGGATTTTATACAACTCAGTTGATATGACAATAAATAACTCATTACCCTCAAGCCTCCTAAGACCTCTAACTATGCTGGAAAATCCTTTCCTACAGTTATGGCCATTCTTTGATTATTATTTTTAAAGAGCTAATAAAATATTTGTTAATAAAATATTGACATTCAGTTGTATTTAATTAAATTTAATCATTAGCTGCTTAAGCAGTATACATGAAATCATTTAATTTTTTTTTAAACTTAACTAAAGGCTTTTACAAATAACGAGCATGAAATCAATTCTCTTTTTCCTAGTTGCACATAAAGATGATACAGTAGGCAATTATGCAAAAGGAGTGAAGAAAAGGAAAAATGTTTCCTCGTTACCTCCTAAAATGAAGACTTCAGTTTTCAATTAACATCCTTCAGGCCAAATCTTTAGTTGGTATATGAGTATTCATCCATCCTGGTTTCACAAGCTATGGATCTGACTGAATATATTTGTAAAGAATTTCCAAGAAGAAGGAATAAGTGAATCATTTTAATGAAAACAAGTGGGCCATTAATGTCATTTTATATACGAGTCCATTATTATTCCAGTGTTTCTGCAAGTGCATTCAGCAGATTCATTTTAGTTTGGAGCATTAGTAAACAGTCCTGTAGTTGGACCTGATCTGCCTGACACATCCAAGTGAAAGCAGTCCTTATTTATTAGAGTGTCATCAAACATTTTTTTTTGTATATCAGTAGAAGTACTCACAGTAATATGTACCATAGTAATAAGAAGCACAGCACAATTTCATTGTAATAAAGCCCTTTAGGACTGGGTGAACAGTACATTAAAATGTGTTCACGATAATATGGTTAGTCAATTTGCTGCATCGTAACAAAAAGAATAGTTCCTAATGTTGGGATTAATCAAATGGCAGGGGTGGGGAGGCGAGTGGAGGAAGGAGAGGTTGTTAGAAACAGGGCATATAGTTATAATGAGGTTGTACTGTATGTGGAGGGTTGAGCCCTGTTTCTGGAGCAACAATTTAAAAACCTTTTGGTCAAATTCATCTTAAATATAGCTCTCTCAAATCAAAAAAATTTGGTACTTTATAATCCACTGACTGACTATAACGGCAAAAATGTTATTTCCCAGGGTTTTCAGATAGGAGAGTTATGGTACCATAGTACTTATTTTAAAACAAGTTATTTAAATCACACCATCAAAACATTTTCATTCCCTCATTTTGTATTTCTGTTATGTCTCTCCATCCTTTAGTAACGGATCTTCAGTTTTCTTGGCTTCATGTTAATTTTTCATTACTTTTTGTTTACATAGAAATGGTTTATAAAACAGAGAGCTATGAATACAGTAGTTTTGCTGGAAACACAGTAGTTTGGCTTGCAAATGAATGACAAAGGTTTAAAAAGAAACACTTCAGTGGAGTTTCTCCCACTTCCCCCAGCGATGTGTGTTTCATTCAGTTTGTGGACTGATCTAGTTCTTTCTACCTGCCAATTCAATTAGATGACTTTGAAATTTTCTTCTTAAACTTTGATTTAGCTGAATTTGCTTACATATGTTTAATTCAACAATATAAAAAAATAACATAGCTTTAATTAGAGCTATTATTGATTTTTTTCCCCAGAAAATGACAGTCCATAGAAACTGAAATGTATATGGGAGGGAATAGGTTGTATCAATTTTCTGAAATAAGAAGTTGAAATGAAAAAAAAATACTTGCAATTCTCAGAGCAAACCATTTACCTGAATTACTTCTGAATAGCTGCTTCAGGAAAACATTTAAAATGTCAACTTTTCAAAGCAATTTGGATGGGAAAAGAAAACTCTCACAAGGCAAAACTGTTTCTATCCACTTCTTTTAGCTTTATTTTCTTCTTATTGTAAGGTGAAAATGAAGGTTTCCTTGAGTACTTTATTAAACTAGAATAGTTATGAAGTAGTAGGAAACAGTTTCAAACTGCTAAAAATGTGAGCATCACAAAAGTCACTGGACTAGTCTGAATAGGATACTATAGCAGGTCTAGTATTCTAATACAAGGTCTGACGTGACCCACATTCAATCTTGGCCTGCTTTTCTCTCTGGTGTCCTGGTGGACCCCATGGTCTCACTTGGTCCAATCAGTCCTCAGGCCTCTTTAGGCTCAAATCAGTTTTCAGGTACTACTGACATGCTCCTTTCCCTTCTCCACCCCCCATCTATCATGGCTCAAAAGCCCACAATAGCTCAGAAACCAAAATAATAATTCACTCTGCCTCAAGTGCCTTCAGTGGCCTCATCTCCCCAGTAAACTTGCTATGCCTCATAGCAAGGATCATGAGGTCAAAAGCATACCTTGCCCAAAAATAACAAAACTCACAAACAGTTCCAAACATACAACACAAAATCCCTCCAAGGTGCCTGTTTCCCAGGTGTAATTGTACCCAAAACGTTCCCTTCCAGCTGTCTATCCAGTTCCAGATCTTCTGAACGTATTCACAGTTTGGTTCAAAATATGCCCAAAAACAGAAGTCATTTTTTTAGAAGTATTCCTCGTCACCACACAGGGTATATACTTGCCTTCCCATGAAGCCTTCTCATATCTGCCACTAGGAGTCAAGACATAACTTCATTGATACCAAAGGAGTTATTCCCAATGTACAGTGGAATAACTCAAAAACCAATTATCAGACCCTCTTCTATATCTTAACCTTTATTTTAAATTCAAACATTTTCCTTACAAATATTTTCATTTTTACTACTTTTATTTGATGTATTGATAAGTAATGATAGAAGTGAGGCATACAAATGGAACCAATTAAGTGTCAACCAGTCAGAATCCCCACTACTGTATTTCATGTCAACATTACCATTATTATATTCTTTGTTCTCAAATAATGCTAGAGACTGGTGTGCCATCATGCTAGGCTAGTGATTCTCAACCAGGGCTTCTTGAAGTACTTTCAAGGGTACTACAAAATGGCACACTGCTAGGTGTGCAAACATGACTTGCAAGATAAACCCAAAGGGCATTTATACACATGCTCCAGGAGTGGGCAGTGGGGGAGTACTTTAATTAGAGTGTCTCCAAGAGCCACCCTAATTAAAGCACCCAGAGCATCTTGTGCATCAGCATCCCCACACTTAAAAACAGTGGTGGGGCTCTTTAACTAAAGTTAATTCGGCAAGCTTTAGCTAAAGGGCTCCTGCCAACATTTTTAAGTGCATAGATGCTGCTACATGAGATGCTGGAGTCTGCTGGAGCATGGTTATTACCACACTTCAGCAGACTCAGTTAATTTACCCTGCTACAACGTGCTGTAATTACAGCACGTTGGAGCAGCCTTGCTGCTGTATATAGGTGCCCAAATATCTCAAAGAGGAATCCATAATGTCACAAATATTTTAACCTTTAGTGGTCTTTCTGAGTTCCTTGCATTAGAAAAACTGTTCTATTAATTATTTGTAGTCATAAACTGGTAAAAACTAAACATTGGCATTTTTGAGGGGTGCCTTGAATGTAGCAAGAGGTGCCCCAAGTCTAAAAAGGGGTGCTTTGAGTCTAAAAAAGTTGAGAATCACTGTGGTAGGCATTGAACTAAACTGATGGTCCCTCCCCAACCATGAGGTTTGCCTAAGCAAGAGCAGGCAAACTGTGCTTTAATTGGGAAGAAAGAGAAAAATAATAATTATTTATTTGATTTTATGCTTTTTGAATAGATTATTTTTAGAAGTGGTGTTTAAAATCTGAACCTTAATAAAGCCACTGAATCCATAAGAGTTTCTCCAACAACTTCAGAGAGGTAAACATTTCACCCAACTAAGTGGTTTTATAACCAAGCATTTCACCTAACCAAGTGTTGGAATAAAGAATTTACTGAAGTAAAGATAAAGTACTTTGCTTTCAGCAGTTGGGAAGATTTATATAACCAAAGATTGTCTTACTTTCCTTGCAACAGGATGATGAGGTAAGAGAAAGTCGATTCAGTTTTACAGCCTATGGAATGGGGCCATGTCTGCAAGCAAAAGATGGAGTGACTCCAAAAGGGCCAAGTAATCCTGTTCAAGCTGCACCAAAAAGCTCTGATGAGATGAGGAAGGTATTCATTGACCGGGCCAAGAAGATAGACACCATTTCCAGAGCTTGCTTCCCATTAGCCTTTTTGATTTTCAACATTTTTTATTGGGTCATCTACAAAATCATTAGGCATGAGGATATTCACCAATAACAAGATTAAGGCTTCTAGTACATACAGTTTGGGCTGGCATATTCAGCGGGATGTGTTCCATTGCAAATGTGTGTACAGATACTGACTGGGCTAGTTAAAAGGCACAGAGGGGAAAAAAAGATTTCATTTGACTTGCTATGCAAAGTCACAATGGGATTGATGAAGATTGGCACCCAAGGAAGATGTGATGTCTGCTACTACAAAAAATTATATACATTTACTAAATGTAATCAACTTTTTCATAGTAAATCGCACTATATGATAGCTTTACTGCCAATGTGTTTTTACATACTGTTACATAGTGGGATAATTGTACGGTACTCTTTAAAGTTCCTTACGATTTTTTAATTCATTTGTATTTTTAAATTACAAAAATGGGTCCAAAAATGTCTCAGATAAATTCCATAGATTATACAAACAAAGATTATACTAAAATTTCTAACTCTGATTTCAGTCTTACAAGATCACAGACTACTGATTGGTGTTTTAGTCTAGCATATTGTCTTGATTTAGTAATTCAAATGGGATTTGTAATGAGCACAGAATATATTTAGGTTATTTTTTGTGTGTTGTAAACTTCTTACTTAGACAAAGGACTTCATAAATGAATTGCAGTCCCCTTTGGAGATTAAAATATGTGTCAGTGTAATGCCCAGTGTAGAACAAGGTAACTACTGCCCAGTCTGAAGTCAGACATCCTGGTACTGTCACATATAACAATGAGACCATGTTGCTATTTTGAAAGGACTGTTCTGTCTAAATATTTTAATTACCTATAATTCACTCTTTGATAAATCAAAAGAAAAACATTTTTTATCCTTTTGATAGATTTTTAAATTTTTTTCCTCATCAGATAACTTATACACAGAGTATTTGGGGGGACAAGCTCGGTAGAAAATTTTATGATGTCTCATTTTTAACTTGGTGGAAAATGACATAACATATTAAAAGTCTGAAATTTGTTTACCATATACATATTGTTTAAGCAATTCTAGCTGAAGCATTTTGAAGATGAATATAGCAGTGTTTATGCACATATAACTCCCACTGTTTTCAGTGACATTATAACATATGTGTTCATAGAGATGCCTGGTTCAGTCTTTTCTTATGTTTAATGACTTGCTCAGTGAGGAGATTCTGACAGGATTTCTTACATACTGGTACGAAATATTCTGTATCTTTGAAAAAAATAATGTGTTTTTTTTAAAGAAGAAAAAAAAAGATAAGGACATTCCTTTATTTTTACTGTACTTTACCATAATAGATAGGAGAATTTATAAAAAAAAGTTGGAGACATTCTTCCTTACTTAAAATTACATGGATCATATTAATTTCTTCTTTAATTTATTATACAATCAACTCTTTTTTACGGTATTAAAAAAAACAACAACAACCTGGAAGTGAGCAATCTGGCCACATTGTTTTTCTATTGAAAAAAAACAAAACTTGACAGCTAGAGGGAAAATTTTACCTGGTATTCCAAACTTGCAGTGAAATCCTGTCACTGAAACAATTTGTTTTTGCAAATTTGTTATTTCTTTTGAGCGTGTTTTAAATGTTTGGTTTGTTATTGCTCACAGTGCATACACAAAAGCAAAATACAGCTGAAAGTGAACATCTGCCACATAGCTAGTGGCATACTGCATATGAACGAACCATAGCAACATATCCTTGCATTGAAGATTATGACGTGGTGACCTTGTTTTAGTTTCTCTGAGGATTAGCTAAGAATATTTGAAAAATAATGGCTACCTAGATGTGTCAAATTATCTTAGAAAACAACTTAATAACTCTCTTCAGTGTTATTTTATCAGTTTTTCATGTATTGTATAAAAAAGAAAATTCATTCTGAGCAATGATTTATAGATATGTAGTACTGTTTTCACTTATCTGTTTAGAAAATCTGTTAAAAAAGGCTTGGGGAAAGTAGTTAGCTGTGTTAGTCTGAAGTCAGGTGAGATGCAGGTAGATTTGCAGCTTAAAGGGAGCATCTACATGTGCACTTTAATGTGCAGTAGCCTATTTTACTGCACACCAAAACATCATGTAAAAAATCATTTGATTATGCTAATGTGCAGTAAAATAGGCTACTGCACATTAAGCATTACTTAAAAACCGTGCACATTCATTATTGCGTATTTGGGGCAGCCTAATGTGCATTTCTTTAGTACACCGCATTGGAGGTACTAAATTTAATATGCAATAGCAAAAGCACTTTAATGCATGTGTAGATGTGCCCATAGACTAACTAAATCAAGATGCTTAATCTTTCATAAGCAGCAGCTTGCTTTATCAGATGCTCAGAAAGGGCTGCAGGAAGCACAGCTTCTCAACAGAAAGCAGGGATTAGAATATGAAGGGTAGAGAAAGGGAAGCGAGCACTGTTGGGAGAGGCAAGATGAGGAAATGAGAGGAAACAAAGCAGTTAAGCCATTGAGGAGCCTAAGGATTATAAAAGCTAACTGAGATAATGAGATAAGAATCTATAGTCTTGGCTTGGACCTGGGCTGTCAAACTTTAGAGGAGCCAAGGTCTGCACAGGTCATAATTTTCATGAAGTGGGGGCTACACAAGCGTCTCATGACCCTTGCTGTGTGAGCAACGTGACAACCCCACTGCGGCTACTATATGAGCCACCCTGGTGCCGCTATGTGGGCAAGCCACCCCCTGCTGCCACATGAGAAACACAGCCCCCCCCCCCCCCCCCCCCCCCACTACCACAGGGGCTTAGGAAACATAATACCTTTGACAAGACTAAGGCCCACTATGTAAGCTCCCTTACTGCTACCACCATGTTGGCCTTCCCACCCACCACTGCTGTACAAGCAGCATGAATTCCCCTCTACCAGCATCACATGCCTCCTCTGCACTGTTGTATGAGCCACTCTGCTGCACACACTCTATGGGTAATCCCTTCCCACTGCTGCTGCTATGGGAGCAGCGTGAGCCCTCCCCCACTAGTGTGCTGGGCAGCAAGCTCACTGCCCTTCCCATCATGCCATCCTGCCCCAGAGACCCTAGTCACAACTGCCACACCAGGCAGAATAATGGGGATAGAGGCAACCAGGCAGGAGCCTGAGGGCTGCACATTAACCCCTTGCAGTCCAGATATAGCCTGCAGGACACCAGTTGGACAGCTCTGGTTTAGATCATACTTAATGAAATCCAGCCTGTGGAGGATTTCTTGTTCCACAATTTTCAAATTAAATTCATTTTTTAAATTTTGCTAAGATCAGGAATATTTAGATTAGTGGTGAAATGTCCAGGGAGATTAAAATGTTCTTCCATGGGCCATTGTATCTTTCTGGAATTGATTTCAGAGCAGTGTTCATTCATTCTTACACGTAGGTATCTCCCCATTTGTCCATGTAGACAGCACAGGGGCACTACAGGCAAGTGATGGCACATAGGATGATTGTAAAGAAACAAATTAATTAATGTTATATTGCTTGTTATTAGATAAGGGGGCACAGCTGGCTACTGGGTCTAGAGCAACATCTGGTGCCCTTGTGAGAATAAGAGTTAGGTAGTCTCCTGCTGGGCTGATGTTGTTTGAAGCTGGGGGGCTGTATATAAACCAGGATAGGTTTGACTGGCATGGCTACCAATACTACTATATTTGCCAGGTTTCGATTGAGGTTGTTGGGGTTTTTTTTAGTATACCTTACAAAAAGAGATGTTGGCCTGTTTCAATTTCCATTGAAGTCAACAATAAGTCTCTGACTTTAAAGGAACAGGATTGGGCATTCATAAAATAGGAGGCATTCATAAAATAGCATATAATCATCCAGGCTTGTCTTTTTCTTTGTTTTCTAAATAGCTATATTCCCCTCACCAGACACCCTCTTTCCAATAAATAAGTTCATTAAAAGAAAAACAACAAAAAACAAAAAAACAAAACTTGGACCAGAGCCTCAACTGTTATTAATACAATCAATGGGTGCATCCAGGCAAGCTCAGACATGCAGTATGCAGTGCCACACACTACACACACTGCACATGCAAGCATTCCCCACACTGCTACCTTGCAATGAGGAGGGGTTGACTCTGGGAGATATTACTAAAATAAATGGAGTGGTGTCCAAAACCAGAGACTGGCTGACTGGAACCATGCTCTAGCTGCTAGCCAGGTCCCTTCTGCAGGATTGCTGCAACTGCAGCTCTGGAGGCCCCCAGGACCTCAGGTAAGGTTGCTAGGGCCAGCACAGTTGCTGGCCCCAGCCTCTCCTACCCCACCTGGGACAACATACCATGCACAAGAGTGCACATGGCATGGGCATTCCAGGGAAACACACGTTTCCACTCATGGGGATGTACCCCAATAAAGCTACACCAATTTGCACCAGCAAAGGATCTGGTTCATGCTGTATCTTTTCCAAAATTCCAATATTTTGACTATTACCAGCACACATGCAATACCATTGCTTTGAAGAGATTTGAACAGAGATAAATAACGCATAATGAATCATTTACTGACTTAAGTGAACTTTAATAGTGGGAGAGAAGAATTAAGACTAAGGAAGAAAAAATATATTTTCAGATAAAAAATGAAATGGGGGTGGGAAGAGGAGAGAGAGAGAGAGAGAGAGGGAAGCTGATTTTGCATTAACCAAAGCAAAATTGTATGAAGAGCTCCTTCATAAGGGAAGAGAATCAGTGTATTTCTGTAACTACTGTGCATTTAATGATACGCTATACAATCTAATACAGTATATACATTATTAAAAGAAACTTATGACTCTTCAGTATAGTTGCTCTACTGATATTCCTCCTGAACTAGAATTATATATATTTATTTTTGATAACAGATAATGTATTGATACTAAGGGGAGCTATACTTATACTGAACAAAGTGCATGACCTTCTAGACAAGAGGATTGCAAATTACATTCCAAATATTGTATTAATTGACAAAAAACTCCCACGTTTTTATTGTGTTCCAATGACACAGTTTTTTGTCTTGTTTTAAAAATATATACAATTTTATTAATTTTAAATAT